GATCTTTTCACAATGTATACATATATCAAGACATCACGATGTAAAATTTTGTCAATATACCTCAATAAAACAGAAGAAAAGAATGCTATTTCTTGACTATACTCTGAAAAAAAACCAACAGGAAAACATATAAATATATAGATGACAGATGGATAGGTAGACAGACAGATACATAGATAGACATATAGATGATAGGCGAGTTATTGGTGGGGAGCGCTTCCTGTCCCCACCTGTTGCTGGGGGATGTGGGTTTTTTGAGAAGACACAAGAAGAAGAATTTTCTAAGACGTGCATGGGAGAATGAGTGACATTTATTTTCATGGAGTTAAGTCCCCGAGTTTCCAAGGTCCCATTTCCCTCCGTCCTGCCATGGAAGAAGTATCACTGTGACTTCAGTAGAGCTAGGAGTAAAGCTGTTGCCCAGAATTTCCATTCCATGTTGGAGCATAGCCCAACCCAGCATCACACTGGATTAGTTTGTGTTCCCAGTTGCAGACCATCGGTCCATTGTGTGGGGAGTTCACAGGGAACACAGGCAGGAGCAAAGCCAGAGGAACAAAAGAGCCCCAAGAGCCAAGAGCCAAGAGGAGCCAGGGAGCAAACTCCTTGTCTGGGGGATTATGAATGCCCACATTTTCACGGGTTTGCAGTGGCTCCAACCCCTCTGCCCAGTCCATGGTTCCCCAGGCTAGATTGGCAGGCAAGTACCTTCCCTGTGACTCCTACTTCACTGCTCATGCGCCCATCTCCCCTTTGTTCAGTCCCTTTCCGCAGTGATCTGCAGGGAATGGACTGATGGTTCCTTGGGGAGTGTGAAATTGCAGTTTCCTGGTGAAGCTGCCCAGATGGCCATGCTTATAATGTCTGGCTCCCTTTTGCTCCTTTCCTATTATTAATAACTAGCTAATTACAACCATATCAGAGAGACAAGGCAGATGATAGATGGATGCACAGAATACTACAGGGCAGGCCAGCAGGCTGGAAACCCAGGGAGGAGTTAATGCTACAGTTTGAGTCTGAAGACAGTGTGGCGGCAGAATTCCTTGGGGATCTCAATCCTTTTACTTTAAGGCCTTCATCTGATTGGGGGAGGCCCACCCACTTTATGGAAGGTAAACTACTTAAAGTCTAGTGAGTTCATTGTTAATCATATCTTTAAAATACCTTCACAGCACCATCTAGACTGGTGTTTGACCAAAAACGGGGTAGCATAGCCTAGTCAAGTTAACACGTAAGATTAACCACCATGCTATCCTTCTCAAGAAGATCAGCATTTGTAGTCACACATGTGGTGACTGGGAGCCCCAGGCCTACATTGTCCTTATGGTTTAGGACTCCCAGAGAAAGGAAATGCCAATCGTCAGACATTTGCCACAGATCCTGGGGCGACTTGGCTCATGTGTCTGAATTAAGAACAGGGGCTGGGAGCAGAAAGCTGTCATTTCCCCATTGCTGTTACAGAGAGCATCGTCATAATGTGGGAAATGTTTTCCTCATTGAAAAGGGCCTGTCCCACAAGGAGAGACATAGGGAGCCATGCTGGGCAGATGAGAAATTACTTCCTACTGTCTTTTTGGGCAGACTCTGCAAATCAAGCCAGCCCACTGTCTGTTTTTATGTGGCCCACGAGCTAAGAGTTTAAGTAGCTGAAAAAAGAATCAAAAGAAGACTATTTCTAGGTGTGAGAAAATTACATAAAGTTTACATTTCAGGGTCCTTAACAAGATTTTATTGCATCACAGACGGGCCACTCATGATGTGGTCTCTGTGGCTGCTTTCATGCTACAGGGAAAGAGCTTAGTGGTTGTGACAGAGACATCGTGACCTACAAGTCTAAGCTGTTTGCTATAGTAAATATTCCTTTACACAGAGAAGTTGCTGGTCCCTGTGTTATAGCATTACTATATCACTGAAATTTGGAATATGAATCTTTTCAATTAGCATTACAAGTACTTGTTCATATACACGTTTGTTTATTTATTCTCAATTTAGTCCCCTAAGAGAGTATCAAAAATTTCAGTAGTGGAGAAAATTATAAATTGAAATGTTAACTTGTCTTCCCATTTCCATTCTCAAATCCTTCTTTCTAGATGTAATCATTCTAACCTTGTTTTAAAATTTTTATTTCTTTTTGGTGATTATGGCCCCAATTCAGTGTTATGTTTTCTTCTTTTTCTTTGTGGATCAACATTAAACATTAACTACAGGCCATAAAGATGGGAGATTTTAGTTCATTTAAGCCGTCTATTCTTCTTTTCTCCTTACAATTTTTTATGGAATATTTTAAAAATGTAAGCATACTTATTGGCTGTGTTTGTAGCTCCATATAATAATTCTTAACCCTTTATTTTTTGAATCATGAAATTTAGGAATATGTCTTGTCATCTTGCTCTGAAGAGAGGCTTTGTGCTCCTGTGTCTCTCACATTCCACCTCCTGCTCTTATTATTTTAACGTTTTGAAGGTTGATGACATTTATGCAGTGTTCTATGAAATTAGTTGCACATTCTATATCTCTAGATTGAATTGATTTCTAGCTTATTCAGTGGTTGGTGAGCCCATGTCATATAGAGATATATATCTTTTCCAATTATTACCTTGATTATTTCCCCCCTATTTTAGTTTTCTTTTCTCTGTAATCCCCATTAGGTTAGTCTTGGACTGATATTCTAAGTTATAAATTTTCTCCATGTTTTTTTTTCTTTTTTTCCTGGGAAATTTCCTTTACTTTGATTTTGTAAACTTTTTGACATTTAAATAAAAACAACTTTTGCTATTAGAGTTTTAATATCCATAATTTTTTTCTTATTTATTTGCTCCTTTCCACAGAAGCCTATTATAATCTTCGTATCTCTTTGTCAGAGTCTATCTTCTCTTTTTCCTCTTGAATATCTTTGAGGTTGCCAATTAGTACATTACTTTAACCTTCTCTTCTTTTCCCTCAGCTTCATTTCCTATGGTGTGAGTTGTTCTATCCACTTCTCTTGCTTCTTTTCTTTTGTATGACTGTTATCTCCAAACATCTGCTGATCTTTGGTTGTCCCCTCAAATCTCTAAGGCCAAGTTCAGGCCTTCAAATATTGGGAGACTCAGTCTGATCTGTCCTGTGAGGAGTAATAGATGTTTAAGTGGACTGGGGTCTAGATTAATACAGATTGTTTTCCTCTGCTCATTCTTTGCTGAATGAGAAGCTGGCCAATACATCTGGCGTGCTTACTGGACTTGTGTTCTGCCAGGTTTCCCTGAATGATGCAGACAGACTGTGCCTCTCAGTATCAAGAATGTGGCCTTACTCCAGTGGGCTGATTCCCACTCTGATGTGCCAAACTCCTAACAAAAATCTTGGTTGAGTTGGCGAACAAAACCTGCATGAATGGAGCTAGGTAGGTGGGTATATTACTTTGTGTAACCAACCACTGATCTATTCTTCAGATTTTCTTCAATCCATTCCTTCTCCACGTTCCAGTTCTGGGTACTTACTCACAAACGGGGCTCCTGTGTGCAAACAGCTCCTTTCTGCACTGCAGCTGTCTCCAGCATTTTCTAAGCTGTAGCTCTCTTTTCCGATTTAGCCACAGATGTACCAACAATAGAAATTATTGAGTGCTGACAGAGTTGCAGGCCTTATGCAAAGCAGTTTCGCTGGATCTTTTTTTTTCCCATCCTCATAACAACCCCAGGAAATAGGCCTTACTCTTATTCCCATTGTTACAGATTCAGAAACTGTGTTGTAAAGAGTTTAAGTAACTTGTGGAAAGGCACACAGTATGTGGTGGCAGGCAGAGTCCACATTTTAGAAATCTAAGTACAACTTTTCCAAGATAGGGCATTTCCCATTTCTCAAAAATATGAAATATTAAATAAGGACTAGATCTACTGGTGTGAGGTCTTTAAATAAATACACCAAGTCATTTAACCATCTATACCCTTCACTGACAGGTGAGAAAGAGTCTCAAGCATTCGAAGCCCCTTCCCTCAGGCTCAGAGCCAGTCAGTTGGGATTCAAATTCAGGTCTTTCTAGCATAAAACCACCTTCCCTGTTATGTTCTAACTTCATACATAGAAAAGACTTCACTTGCTTTCAAAATTATTTCTTTGAATACTTATAGTAGAAATTCTGATATGCTGAAGTACCAAAAACATATATAGTATTTGGGATATGAAGTTACTGAGCTCTGGGCAAGTCATTTAGACTTTCTGAGTTTCAGTTCATTATAAAAAATAAAGACAATAAAGCTTACCTCATGTGAAGACTAAATGAGATAAATAAAGTTGGTTTATTCATTATGTTTGATTTCCAGCAAGAGTTGGACAAATGGGAGGTTCTGGTCCCATAAAACCCGCTGCTGAGTAGTACCACCCCCTACATATTACAAATGAGACTTCCTCTTGAGTTGAACACCAGATGTCCTTCAGGATACAAACATCCATCACCTGGAGGGTTAAAGATTATTTTTCATAATGTCATGGGCAAATTATTGTTATGCCATGAACATGTATCTGACATAGGATCTCTAGATGGAATTTTTATAATGAAAAAGGAGAAGAAGGGAATTGGGAGCCTGGGGTCCTGGTGATGGGGAAAGCAAATTTCCTGGAACTGGCATCTGGGCGCTATATGCTGAGTGAGAGTGATTTCCTAGGGAAAGCTGGACAGGGCCAGGAAACAGCTCCGTCTCCATTGCATTTGTCCAGGGCTCTCTGGTGACCAGCAGCAGACCTGTGGCACACTGCTCTGGGCTCACCTCTGCAGCCATCACCCAGCTAGAATGGCAGGATTTTGGGGGGTGGGGGGGACATGCTGTCTTCCAATCATGAACTGGCGGTGACTGGTTCAGGACCCTGCTTTCCACACTCTCCACTTCAGTCAGTGTTTGCCTGTCTCCACCCCTTTCCTGTGTTACTCTTAAAGAGGAAAAAGGGAAGAAACATGAGGGACAGAGAGGAGGGGTTCCCACCAGCACTTGTTCCTGGAGAAAAAGAGAAGCAGGTAGACTTGCCTCCGTGGCTTCCTTCATGGCCTTCCTCCAGGATACTGCACCCAATCTCTATCCCCGAGTACACATAAGACCATATGCATTTGTCTTGTTCTATAAAAAAGGAAAGTGTAAACAATACACATCCACTTTGTAGTTTTATGTTGTATAAAACAGCAGATAATCCACTGAAAGTTTCCTGATGAATTCTTAGCCCCGTAGTCTTTGTATATGAATGGTTTTCATCTTATAGTTGGACTGTCCTCTAGGAATTCAATCCTCAGTTGGTTTTCTAAAACTGGCAAGAATCTCTACTTTCTTGGAGTTTAATTGCAGAATGTTGAGCGTTGCCCCCCTCCCACCATGCACGTAGGTTAGGATGAGCAGGGTTACTTCATTTTTTCCCTGATCAGCAAACTATAAACATCTATCTGAAGCTCTGGAATGTCAATTGCAAATAATATTTCTGCTTCTATGCTAAACATTGGTTTTTCTATGAAAATAAGCACAGGAACATGGAGTAAATCTGACATTAAATTCTTGTGACCATTTTGCCTTTGATATCTAGGAAAGTCCTTGCCCCATCTCCTATTTCCAAGAGTGTTATCTTGGGTCTACGCAGAAGGTAACTGCTGCATGTCTCTGTCCACATGTTTCTCTCTCACAACACTTCTGTGATGCCACAGTAGGGGAATTCAAAACCTGGGTACCTGTTGGCAGTGGAAGTGCCTGATGAGAGGTGGCACCCTAAACACTCATTTCTCACACACTGTTTTTGTTGTGGTTGTTTGGGCTGAAGGGTCTTTAAGTGGAAAGCCAGATTTGATGTGATTAGACCATTTGCTTTGTCCTGTTTCTAGAACCGTAGCTGTTTCACTTGGAGGAGATCCCTAGTTCAAATCCCCATATTAAAGACAAGGAGCCCAGCCAGCATGGCTCAGTGGTTGAGTGTCAACCCATGAACCAGGAAGTCATGGTTCAATTCAGGTCAAGGCACATGCCCAGGTTGCAGGCTCGATCCCTAGTGGGGGAAGGCAGAAGGCAGCCCATCAATGATTCTCGCTCATCATTGATGATTCTCTCTCACTCACCCTCTCCCTTCCTCTCTGAAATTAATAAAAGTATATTTAAAAAAAATAAATAAAGAGAAGGAAACTCTCCTCATCATGGAATGAACTGAGTGGTTCTGGACAGACCGGAGCTATAGTCCAAACCTGCTGACCTCTCCCCTAGGCCACACTGCCATTCGCCTTCCATATACGACCCTGCTCTGTTGATGGAGAATCAGGTCAATAGCCTGTATTGTGAAATGGCCAGGTTGGAAACGTTGCAACTCCATTTCAAATTCAGTTCGGCAAGTCTCGGCGACCTAAACTGAAATACTGAAATACGTAGCACTAGTAAACAGGGCTCAAATGCTCCGTCCATCACATCTGAAGCTCTTTCATCAGGGCGACTGGCGAACTTTCTTTATTCGGGAAACCTGATCAGCAATAAGGAGCTGGCCTGATCAGTGGAATATGAATTTTACTGCCGCATGGAGACAGGGCTTTATTGTTCTGTCAGGGAAAATGAGATCTAATTGGGAATGATTGACTTACTTATAATCCTTGCTGCATCATTCCACTGTCCATTAAGGTGCCGAGCCAGAGACTGCTTCCTCTTAGACTCGATCTGATTTTTAAACTGTCCCTGCATTTCTTGTTTCCCTTAGATCCTGTATCCGACATGAACCTAATGCATCTAGCACACAATTTGGCTACCTAACAGTACTTAAGAAATTCCTTTTTTTTTTTTTTTTTGTGGCTGAAGGTTGTAAAAAGACAAAAAAAAAAAAAAAGATGTGTGTGTAGTGGGAGACATTTAGAAAGTGTCTTTTAGATGGCCAATTCAAATTGATCAATAATTCAATGTTAAAAAATGTAACCCTCCTTCACTTATGGGACTATTTTAGGCAGAGTAGATTTGGCGTGGCCGTAATGACCCAACTTTCCTCGTCCTGAGAGCCTGGAAGGTGCTGATTCAGGCTTCACGTGGGTACATGGGGCACTTCTGCTTGAGCCAGGAAAAGAGTGAAAGGAAACTGACCAGAAAGCAGGTCCTTCCCAGCATTCCTTTGTCCTCTCCACTCAGTGGGTCCCCTATCCAAGTGGATGTGCTCCTGAGAAAGGCAGGATTATCAGAATGTCCCTTTCCTCCAGCAGGCTAGCTGCTCAGATGGCTTCCTCTGAGATTCATCCAAGTCCCGTCTCCCTCCCACCAGCGATGCTGTTGTTTCCCACCGTGTTGACATATGCTTATGTTATGTTGCATTTTACATGGAGACATTTCTAAACAGTTATGCCCCCATTCATGTGTGTGCTGTTGGAAAAGTACAATGACTGCATCCTACTGATGAAAATAATTGCTGAGAGGGGCAAAACCTCATTTCCAATTTTGCAAGATCAAGTTGACCATCTAATTAGCCTCGGTGAATGGGAAAATCTCTGGCTCAGGAAGCAATGTTTTCTGATCTGGAGCAGTTGAGCAGGTTTTTAAATCTCATGGGAGCAAAAGACAGAGGAGACTTCCAAGTGCATCCAGAGAAAAAGCAGATTTGTTGTCCACAATCCAACTGGAAGGAGAACCTCCAAGGGCAGGCATGGCCATCCTCAGAGATTTTGCAGTTACTAGAAGCCAAGTTCAAAACAAGACTTTCTTAGTGGGAAATGCACTTAAACATCTTCTAATGGAATAAACAGGCAGGGACATTGTAGCTTTCTACCCAAGAACAGTAAATAAACATAACTGAACCCAACTTTGTCACCTGAGCTGACTCCCCCAGTCTGAGGAGTCCCATTGGAAGTGGCGAAGGGACCCCTACCCCTGCACAATATGGGTAATGAGAGTGAAATTCGAATTGAATAGCAAGTCCAGGAAAACACACCCAAGCACTGAAACAGGGAATAGCGAGTGCCGCCTTGCCTTTGTATCCCTCACAAAGTTACAGCCGCATACTAAAATTAGAGCTGAAAGGGGTAAGGCAAATGCTTTGTAAGACATTTGACGTCGGGAATCCAAGATGGCAGCATAGATAAACACCGGGAAATTGCTGCTTCCCACAACAATCGAAAAACACGTCAAAAACACAAAACAGACATCATCCAGAACTACAGGAAGGATGGCTGGGTGGAAATTCTACAACTAGAAGGAAAGAAAAGCACACTGAGAGCCAGAGGAGCTGCGGAAGTAAAGTGCAGAGGTAGGGGTTTCGCGCGTGCGCGCGCGGAAAAGGGCTGGCACCTGAGGACGCGGCTGTCTTTTTGAATCCGGAGGGAGTCACAAGCTCCCGAAGGCTCTGAACTCTAGTTCCGGGAAGTCTCTGGGGACCCAGGACTCATACGGGGAGAAACTGGACTGTTTGGCAGCGGGCGAACTTGAGGGCGGCTTTCCCTCAGAGGTGCTTGCAGCCGTTACCAGGACGCTGAGACTCTCAATTCCTTAGGGCAGGGCTGAGGCTCCGCCATAGCTGCTTGCTCCACCCTTTGATTCCTTGAGCCCCCGCCCCACCCAGGCTGTGGCAGAGGCTTTTGCATATGAATGCCCCGGCCCTTTGTAACCTGTAAATACCTAACTGCAGCCTGGCCAGACAGACCCAGAACTTCCAAGAGAAGGCCCAAGGCCCCATAGCAGCTTGCATTGCTTCACAGCTGAGCCTCATCAGGGCCAAAAAAAGGAAGGGGAATCTGCAGTTCTCTTCGTAGTTCCTGCTGTGTGACCTCAGGCAGAGGCTAAATTAGCACCTCCTTAGATCCAAGAGCCACTGTACCCAGTGGTCAGAGTGGGACCATCCAGATCACAACTCCTCAGATCCATAAGGGACACACTTAGGGTGCAGTCTCAGTGAGCACCAAAGCCCCACTGAAGCAAGTCTTGCCCCAGAAGGGTGTTGCCAGCACAGAAGTTCTCCCACTGCAGACACAGCTGATTCTCACTGCCAATTGGCCTGGAGGTCAATTCCTCCCAGTGATCCTACAACAACCAAGGCATAGCTACCTCAGGTAACTGGGGAGGCTGAGCCACTGGGCCCTACAGGACACCTCGCACACAAAGCCACTCTATCAACACAGGGAAGCAGCCAAAATGCGGAGACAAAGAAACAGGTCACAAATGGCAGAAATGGAGGAAAGCAAATGACTGGATATAGAGTTCAAGGCCATGTTTATAAGGTTTTTCAACAATTTTATGGAAACTGCTGATAAATTTAATGAGTCCCTCAATAAGTATAGTGAGACCCTGGAGGATATGAAAAAGGACCAACTAGAAATTAAGCATACACTGACTGAAATAAAGAATAATTTACAGAGATCCAACAGCAGACAAGAGGATCCCAAGAAGCAAGTCAAAGATTTGAAATACAAAGAAACAAAAAATACCCAACCGAAAAAGAAAAAAGAAAAGAGATTCCAAAAATATGAAGATAGTGTAAGGAGCCTCTGGGACAACTTCAAGCGTACCAACATCAGAATTATAGGGATACCAGAAGAAGAGAGAGGGCAAGATATTGAAAACCTATTTGAAGAAATAATGACAGAAAACTTCCCCTACCTGGTGAAAGAAATAGACTTACAAGTCCAGGAAGCGCAGAGAACCCCAAACAAAAGGAATCCAAAGAGGACCACACCAAGACAATCATAATTAAAATGCCAAGAGCAAAAGACAAAGAGAGAATCTTAAAAGCAGCAAGAGAAAGACAGTCAGTTACCTACAAGGGAGTACCCATACGACTGTCAGCTGATTTCTCAACAGAAACCATGCAGGCCAGAAGAGAGTGGCAAGAAATATTCAAAGTGATGAATAGCATGAACCTGCAACCAAGATTACTTTATCCAGCAAAGCTATCATTCAGAATAGAAGGTCAGAGAAAGAGCTTCATGGATAAGAAAAAGCTAAAGGAGTTCATCACCACCAAACCAGCATTATATGAAATGCTGAAAGGTATTCTTTAAGAAGAGGAAGAAGAAAAAGGAACTCTTATCATTTGCCACAGCATGGATGGAACTGGAGAGCGGATAAATACCACAGGATCTCACTCATTTGTGGAATATAATGAACAACATAAACTGATGAACCAG